CGATCCTCTTAATCTTAACCTTCCACATAGCTAGGATGACAGGTGCATGCTATTTGGCCACGCTAGTAGTTGAGATGTGGTGGCTTAAACTTTTCACCCAGGCAGGCCTTGAACTAACATCTTTCTGATCTCAGTCCTCTGAGTAATTAGGATTATAGGTTTGAGTCACTGTGTCTAGCTTCATACATTTATTTTTTATAAGACCAACAAATACAATTAAAATGTAATTTTTGCCAGGTTACCAGGAGAGTATGCAGTTAACATAAAGCAATTTCGTGCTTTACTCTGATTACAATGGCTGTGATTAATTTAGATGGATATAATAAATTCAAATTTATTTATATGGAAAATATATAAAATGTAATCTTTCTAAAGAACAGGTTTCAAAGACATACACGGTGAACCACAGAGCCTATGAAGATATTTTTAGTAATTTCAGGGGCTAGACACCAAAACAGAAATTTTGTAGGTAATGAACTTAATGTGATATTTTCTCTGTTTTATGAATTTTCCGTAATTTAATACAATTTATTCTCCAAAACCAACTTACAACCCCCCCTAAACCCACCCCAGAGGTTAAGATGACTGGCAAAGGAGAAATACGATGAAAGGAATTTGGAACACAGGGGTCAATTTACAAATCAGCAATCATTTAATGAAGCAAACCTAACAAGGTTTTAAATATCATTTCAAAAATGAAAAAGAACACTAAAATTATTTTTCATAGAATTATTTCAAACTGTTTTGTATTGTTGTTCCAATCTTTACCCTTGTCACAATCACCATGTTATCTAATAAGAGCCATACCAGAAATCTGTCCAGTGTTGCTATTCTCCATCTCCCTCCAGCAAATATGTTAAACTCTGGGATCCAGAAGATATGTAAATATGCATATTTTTTGCTAATGGTTACATTTAGAAGTGAACTGGAATTCTGTGATGTTTCTATAGCATGCATACGTATTGCACTCATGTAAAAATGCCATACTTACATATGAATCAACGTTAGTACTTGTTAAGCACAATTTTTCTTTTGCTTTCTCAGGAAAATAGTCTTTTTCATACCAGAAATTTCTTCTGCCACACCCCACACTCACTCTATTCCTCATAAACAACCCCTGTCATGGTAAATGGCAAACGAAAATAAAAGCGCTGCTGGACATTGAGATATAAAAGCTTTTTTTCCATACTATGTGCACTTTTCAACCCACAGAAAATAAGAACAAAGTCATTTTTGTGCAGCAGTTACTAAAATTTAACCAGAGAGATGCTAGTAAACATTTAAGTTTAGATTAGCTTTCTCAAAACTTTGAAGCAGTGAATACAAGATTTGCTTACACTCCAGAGCTAGTCCTCAGTATCTTTTTTAAGCTGCTCTTGGCATCTCATTTTCACGCACCATCTGAGATGACTTGGAACACATCAGAAAATAACACCATCACTTCCACAAAACAACTGCCTGGACAGGGTCTATTTCTACATCCATCATTTATGGAACTCTGTTTCTGGGGGAAATTTTATTTTAAGTGTCAATACTAAAATATAATATTATTGGAGCTCTCTGCTTCAGTCAGTGAATGCAGTCAGCACTTACATATAAACAGCTTATTTTTAATATTTGGAATAAGATAGGTTTCTAGATGTTATTTTTAAAATGTTATAAAGAAAAATACATTCACTTTCATGCATTTATTAGCTTGCTGCTTATGTATCTTAAAGGACTATTTAAAATTATTTCTTATGAGTTTTCTTCCAATTAAAACCACCCAAAGAAGAAAGGAGGCATAGAATAGAGCTGCCATAGTTTTCCTTTCTTCTTGATTGAAATGACACAAAAATAGTTTCACAAGCCTAAACTTCATCACTGAGAAATTGGAGAAAATGATGTAATGATCAATTTCTGGAAACATAAAAATTCCATTGCTTAAGGTTCATAAAAATTATTTTTTGTAGTGTTCATAGTTGCTGCTTTTTAAAGGAAATTTAAAAAAGGAAACATGCAAACATGCAAACATGCACATACACACTCATACACTACACACATTCACCACTTTGTTTATGAAAGAATAAATAATGCCCATTAAATCACTCAACTTCATTGAGTGATACAATGCAAACACTGAAAAGCAATGTTGAAGAAGTTCAAATGATACTGAAAATGATTATCCATTTAGTTATTGTAAAAATTGCAGGTCAGGTATTTTTAATCAAGTAAGTATGTAGAATGAGAGAAATGCATATATGTGTGCATAGAAAATATATACTTGTATATTTTCAGCTTTTCAGTTTTTATATGTGTATATGTATATAACTAAACTATAAATTTGATGAAAAGTTATCCCTACATGGGAGGATGATAGTGTTTTTCATCTCTATATCATTTTCTATTTCAAATTATTTTATTTTTAACTAAGAAAAAATTTATAATATCCAGCATTAGGTCATCATCATTTATTTAATGCCAGAATTGAAAGTGAAAAATCATACATACCTTATATAAGACACCCCTGTGCCTGAATCAATCATCACTAAGTAACTAATTTTAAATATTGACTGTCAATGCTGTGACCTCTTTTAAGGTATTATCATGCAGCCAACCACTATAAAAACTGTAATCCTTTTAAGAGTTTTACATTCATCAATGCAATTTTTAGCTCAAAGCTTTAGCATATTTTCACATATTATTTCTGAAGCTTAATCTCTGCAAAATTCATTTTTAAATTAGAAGGAATAATAGATTGAAGAGTAGCAGCAAATAAAATTAATGTGGGTTTTGGATAAACATCTGCTTTTGTATTCTTCTGCCAGTTTGAAAGAAAACAGTTTTGATTTTACCTAATGACACTTTATTTATTTTGTTCACTCTATTTAGATCACATTATGAAAACCTACTTAGAATTTGTGCTTCATTCCTAATGTCTTAGTACATATTCCTTAAACTCTTGGAGAAATGGATCCAGTCTATGAAGTCATTCCTATTGCATTGAGCTTTTGCCTGTCACATATCCAAACAAATTTGAAAGCAAAAGCAATACTCACTGCAATGAATATCTCTAATAGTATGGTTGAAATTTGTAATTTGAAATCCCTAAATTCAAAGAACATTTATCTCCAGCTTGATTTTACGCTTGAAGTTTTCTGTTATACAGCAGTTTGAAAAAAAAATTAGGAGGGGAAAAATACTTTCTTGTATTATTGCTAGCATTTTCTTCATATTTAAGTAAAATATATAAAAAAAATTTAAGGCTGTTATAAATTGTATGACCTCTTATTGTTTCCTTATTCTCTAACTCCTTGACCAGGTAAAAATCCTTATGCTTGCTTATATTTTAGTGCAAACATTCTTCCAGAGTAAATTTTGAAGTAAATACAAGTTCACAAAATTAATAAATTCATCTTACATTAATTTGAAAGATGTTGCTTTACCAAACTTAAACCAAATGGCTGAGTTTGAACAGTAAAGGTGTAGCTAAGGTTCAGCTCATATATAATATGCATTTTTCTCTGGAAATTGTTAGAAGTAATGAAAGAAAGTTTATTTGCAAAAAAGATGATATAATTTAAAATATTTCAAAGCAATTTTGTGTGTTGAAACATTGAAAAACTCACTCACAACCAAATTTTTGCAAGAGAGCAGTGCTTTTATGGAAATTTTAAGGCACAGCCCAATGGTTATGATTCATGAGAGTTTAACATTTTTCCTTTGCATGATCTATTGACTGAGATGAAATTTTAAACATGAAAGTTGGGGAATGAACTCAGATGACTATTCCAGTTGAGCAAGAATGATTTAAGACATTTTAGACTGCATCTGAATGAAAAGTAATATATATTATTTATTAAAATATATTTTTAGTTTATATTACTTATAAAATCTATTTTAATAAAACAGTATATAATGTAGTATTTTAATATATTTATTGCATATACTTATTCTTGGATGATTTACAGACTACTAGCTTATGTTCACATTCCATTTATTCTGGAATTTTGCTTTGAACAAGGATGACCTACAGTATTGTGAAGATAATTTCTCATTTCTTTAATTCTCTCCCTTGTTGACATTTTTGTGTACCTAATTCCAGGCTACAATACAGTGAACTACATATGTGTTGAATTTCCTAAGAAATTAATTAAATTCAAATGCTTCTAGATTATGAAGAATGAATACTTTCCACATAGACATAGTTAGAAGTCATTTTTCTCCAAATCTTGAAGGACAATCTCCAATTCTACCAATCATTAGACTAATTTTGATAACTCATTCAAACATAGTGTGTTACAATCAGATGCTTTACTCTATATAGCTAAAAGTTCTCTCCTTTCAAACTAAAAATGCTCAGTGTTTTTTTTAATTTTTAAAATCGTATCATCCTATTTACTTCAGATCCTTCATTTCCATTTCCACATCATTTGGAAGGCTTGTGAATTGCTCTTTATTGCCTAACTTATTTTTATGCAATGATCATTTGAAATGAAACAATAGCTATTCTTAAGAAGTGTGCCATTTCAATTTATGAAAATTGTATCCTTAAAAGGATGCAAAAGAACTAAAGAGAAAATTTCAGATTAACTCTGTTCCTGTTGGTGTACTTGGGAGCTGTACTCAAATTTCCCTAAGAAATAGGATGGACTAAAAAATGAGACACCGAGAAGATGGATATGTGTTATATCTATTTGATAAAGAAAGAAAATTGAAAGTTAAATAGTAGACTGTTTAGACAGATATGTTGTCAATGTGGACATTTCAAATGTTCTGTGAATTTAAATTTGTATTAGTTTCAATTTAAATCAATTAAATTAATTTGTTATAATAAAAATTAGAAAAAATAAAAAAGCATGAGGTTTTAATTTGACATATTTCATCGAAAAAATTGTAATGAAGTATAACTTTTAAAATATGGCCACTTTCCTTTAATGATTCTCTCTCTCTCTCTCTCTCTCTCTCTCCCTCTCTCCCTCTTCCTCCTCCTCTTCTTCTTCCCCTGCTCCTCCTCAAAGCTCCACTCTGACCTGGACAAGGGAGAGGGCACTGTTAAATATACCCTCTCAGGAGATGGTGCTGGCACCGTTTTCACTATTGATGAAACCACGGGGGATATTCATGCAATAAGAAGCCTGGATAGAGAAGAAAAACCTTTCTACACCCTTCGTGCTCAGGCTGTGGACATAGAAACCAGGAAACCCTTGGAGCCTGAATCAGAATTCATCATCAAAGTGCAGGATATTAATGATAATGAGCCAAAGTTTTTGGATGGACCTTACGTTGCTAGTGTTCCAGAGATGTCTCCTGTTGGTGAGTAGGCAAAGCAAGCATCTTATTTATAACAAAAGATTGTTCTTGAACTGTACAATATTTTCATTTACTTTCTCAACTTTTTAAGTGTACTGCTTCTTTATAAAGATAGCCATTAGAATTTATAATATTCTTTGTGATTTCAATGTGTTGATTTTCTTGAATTCACAGCATTTCTTTATTATTACAGTATGAAATTATTTTGTTTGAAATTGTCATTACATTTCCAGACTCCTATGCAGTACTGAAGATAAATAGAACAAACCACTGAAAAATATATAGTAATTCTTACCACAAAATAAAATATCCAATATGTGTATTATATCTAAATTAGAAATGGTGCATAAAGGGGTATCTTGCATTCTTTGTGGATTGTTATGGAAATTCCAGAAGTACAAAACTGTTTCCTTTCTGGATATAAATATTCCATAGTGATTATGCTATAGAATCAAAAGGAAATAACATCGTAAAGCAATTAGCATGAACTTATTTAGACTGCAGTGGTATCATTTTTTAATTTTAATTTTATTTTTTTTCTTTAGGTAATAGTACTTTTTAATTGTTATACTAGAGGTACATTGTAGCATTTACAAGAGCTCTTACAATATAGCAAATATATCATACTTGAATTCCTCCTCTCCACCCCTCTCCTTTACTCACTACCCCCCACAACATTCCTGGAATAGTTTCAGCAGGTCTCAGTTTTCCATTTACATACATGTGTACACAGCAAATCATTAAGAACTTAAATTTGAGATAGATTCACATTTTACAAACTGTGATAATGTGTACTGTAAGATTCAGTTAATTCAGAATTCTAACTTGAATGGCATTTAAAATTATATAATTTTCTTGTGGGTAAGACAGTGCTAACGTTGTTAAGCCCAATGTATCTCAGAGGGCCCCTGTTGCCCGTACAATTCCCAGGACATGCAATGAAGATTGTGCATGCTTCCTCAAGAGCAGACACAGGCTAGTGCTGGAGACATTGCCACATGGATTTAGTACAAAATCACTTGAAACTTTGTATATGACCTTATTAGGTATCCCATGATCATAGTCTCCCCATGATCTGAGAAACCACCTGAAAGCAGTTCACTTAGATATCAAATTTAATGTGCATAGTCCAGGCTGCCAGTCTCTTATTCTTACTCTTACACACTTTAAATTGCCTTTTTGTGTAGTGTAATGATTGCTAGGGATTTAGAAGTACAATTGGAAAGAATCAAGTCTTAGAAAGAAATCCTAGAAAATGTGTGAGGCTATATTTTTAATTGTGCCTTGATTTTCCAGTGGGAGAAAAATAAAGGTAATATGCTTTGACAAAAACTCTTTTAAGAAGACAATGCTATTGAGTAGATGACCTACTTTGTGTAAATGAGAAATAACAACATGACTTTAGAATTCTCAGTAATTCATTTTGACCAAACAACATCCTTAAACACATGCATATCTCTACAGTATTAAAAAGTTCTGTTATGTTAGACATATAATTAATGAACTTACCATGCTGATTAGGTTAATGACTAAGGTACATAGTTGAAGTCTTTATATAAGAAATCTGTAGCTAGTGCCCAAAGAAAAAAATTAATCTGGAAATTCAGGGAAAAGATAGGTAAGTGAGAAACATGATTTACTACGCTATTATGAGATATTGGGGAGCTCTGCGGAAACATAGGTTTTCAAATGGTGCTCTCATGTGCCATTATTGAAGGTTTGCATTGGTATTCCAATGGATTCCAGATTACAGTTCATACTTAAATTGATTTTGATGCATCTTTCTAGCTTTTTGTTTTTATAACAGAAGAATGTTTCTTTTGAATCTGAAATCATATTACATGCTATGAGCTAGCCAAGGTATTCCGGGAGTATATCGACTTACTGGTCTTTTTTCAAATGGACATGAAGTAGTAAAAGACCACATATGAAGCAAATATCAAAAGTAAAATATCTACCATCTACCATCTGTTGGTTTTGTCCTTCCTCACAATCCCACCTATACACACAAAAACCAAAACATTGAAGAATCAGTTAATTTGTGGCATCTGTTGCTTGTGCTTTTTTCATAACCAACCTAAAACTATCCAACAACTAAAAGCAAGCCAGAATTTATGTTTGCTAAATGTTCTTTCAGCACCTGAAGTCATTTCTTAAGTATACCCTTCTTACCAGATGAAAATGTTTCAGTGCTCTAATAACCTAAGAACAGATTTTTTTCCTTACTTTCTTTTCTCTCACCCAATTTAAGCAGTCTTTCCTCTATGTCATTTTTCTTAGAACATTAAAATAATTTTTGTGAAGGCCTAATGAAAATTTGCAATGTATATTGAAAATGTAGCTGTTGCTGTAACAGTGTATTATAGATATCTATATTTGAGAAATAATTTATGATTAACTTTTCCTTTCCAATAATTGAGAATGTGGCTATTTTATTTTCAGTGAAAGGAAAGAATTGTCTAATTTAAAAATACATGTAAGGAAATAGTTCATTTTGTAATTTAAAACAGAAGATGGAGAAGTATGAAAGAAAGTTGATAATACAAATATTGATTTAGCTATAATGGATTATATACTCTAAAATATGATGCTCAAACATACCTACAGTAAAAATTAACTAGAGTGACAATTACAAAGAAAATAAATGTAGAAAAAGAGAATAATGGAGAGCATATTAGGTTGAGACTTCAACATTTAAGTCGTATAATACTGTAGAATCCACTTAATTCCCTAAAAACGAAGAGAATTCTAGTGGATCTATGAATTGTTTAAGAGAAAGGTCACTCTTTTACTAACTTCTGCTATATCTAATATGTCATGGAAGTAATAATCAGAGATAAAATGCTTTTGCTTTGACCTAAGGAAATTACTTAATGATCCAGATATTCCCCAACTCAAAGCTACTCCTTGGAGACAAATTTGGACTTTATGAATGTGCTCTTAATTCTTTAAGATCACTAGCAGCACAATGAATTATAGTAATGTGCACGCTTTAATATCTGATGATCATGCATCAGAAGAGTGTGCAGTTTAAGTTACTTTCCCTGGATGCTGACAGGTTTCAAGTGTTTAAATCCATATTCACACTGCTATCTTCCTCTGCCTGAGCAGAGTCATTTTCAGGCAATTGATTAAATTATTAATAATCAGCTGTCTATGACAGGTTTTAGGAGTTGTCAATTATAAGTCATGATTTATGTATGAAAATTTACATTTCTTAAGCAGTAGGAAGATATCACATGATCTAACATTAGGGACTTAAATCCTTTAATGTGCTTAACCAGACATTATAGGGTATTTTTTTCTATATGGAAACTTATTAATGCCTATGTATAAGAAAGTAGGTTTCAGGCACAGTGGTAATTGCCTGTCGTTCCAACTACTTGGAAGGTGGAGATTGGGATGATAAAGGTTCAGAGACAGAGGTGGTACAAAAGGATAGCAAGACAGATTCTCAAGCAATAAAGCTGGATAGGATGCTATGCACCTGTCATGTCATTCCAGCTATATGGAAATTGTAAATAGGAGGATAGGAAACTTTAAATAGGATAACTATTTATAGCCTAACTGTAAATGGTTAGGCTGGACAGGGGTGAGGGGTGGAAAGTGAGACTTTATTTGAAAAAAGCCTAATGAAAAAAATGGTTGAGGGTGTGGGAACATGACCCAAGTGATAGCCTAGCCAGTACAAGGCCCTGAGCTCAAACCACAGTATTACCAAAGGGGGAAAAAACAGAAAATAGAAATGACTTTAGAGCAAAGATAATCACAATGAACTATTCTGATGTGATTCGCTTAGCCGGTGCTAAAACATCCTTAGCATCCTTAAATTTAGTTTGCAATCTTAGATGATCTTCCGAAGAATTAGAGGTCTATGTTATGATATCTTATTGTAATTATACTGTATCATATATAATATAATTATATAACATTATTATATAATGTGAGGAAGAGGATTCCTGGTTAAAGTAAATCAGAGGAATATAATCTAGAATCACATCCCCCATCTTACAAAAAGTTTAAGTAAAACACGGTACACTGAAAGATAATTAGGCTAATGCTTAATAAAAACAAATAACAAGTGTTCCTTTTTATTCTTTTTTTGGTTTTTTTCTCTAAACTCTATATTGTTTTCTATAATATTTGGAGATGAAAACTAAAATGGAATTTTTGGCATGACTATGATATTAAATAGATTGTTGACTAGGGCATTTTCTATACTATTGTCCTGAAATAATATGTTTCCAGGAAGAAAATAGTGAAGACTGTGACAATGCTTAACATTGTTGCATTATATCAGTCTTATAATTTAGAAATATATTTAAATGTCCACACCTCCTTACTCTTGCAGAAGTGCCTTGGAGAGGAAAAACAAGAAACAATAAAATAGATATATTTTCTTATCCCATGAGCCATCCATAACAATGGAGAGTACACAAGTTACAAAGTAAGAACTGGTGAACTATAATGGATTTTTTTCTGTGCCCTATTAGCACATTCTTTGTCAGGAGTTTAGAGACAGAAAGTTGACTCTTTTCTACACAATATGCTTTCTCTTTGTACAACAAAAACTCAATCATTAGACATAGGAATTTACCTTCTAATTCTTAGGTCAATTTCAAACACTACCAATTGTTTCAATAAGGTCAGGTAAAACAAAAAGTTCTAGTTCAAAAATCATTGCATTTAAGATTTTAAATACATTTTGAAGATAAATATTTAGATATCTAGTTTTTTTATTGAGAATAATTTTTCTACCCTTACCTGTCTTGCATGACCCAAACATTTCTAAAGATTTTTGGTTGGTTAATTTTTAGAATATTTTGTGTGATTTCCTCATGTATGAGTTAAGGATACAAATTTTTATCAGAAATATTGGAGAAGCTCTACTATAATCTTATCATTGTTATCCTATTTGTTTAAACATTATTTTGATGATACTCTCATTACTGATAATGTTCTTTTTTGTTACATGAGGAAGGTTGTGTATTAGTTATCTATCA